CAAATATCAGGAAAACACTCAGTCACTCATTGTTGCTGCTCTCGTGGTTACCACGGAACTGTGTTGCCATTACGTTGCTCTTACTGTTTCCATAGCAAATGTCTTCGAAGTAAAGATGTTCCAAAGTTGGGAAATGGACTTTGACCAGTTCTGACCGAAATATACATAAAAGAATTGAAGAGAGGAAAGAAAAATTATCCACGAATACAGTTCGAGGATCTCTCTCGTAATATCTATCTCCTATCACCAAAACCCTAGCCGCTCTCTCTCTCTCTCTCTTAATCTGTTGGGATAAAGATCCCATATTGGAAATATCTAAGGGACTTGAGTAATATATAATGGACTTAGACAAATCCACTAATTACCGATTGGTTTTAAGTTGGAAGCCCAAGAAACTTATCATGGTATCAGAGCGGGCCCACATCCTTACTCATTAATCCGGCCCGGACAGTGGCCCGATCAACCCATTAGCTGATGGCCCAGAGAAGGCTTAGTTCTATCGAGATTGCTAGAAGAAAAAGCATTGTCTCGGTAGGGATATGATGAATTCTGCGAGATTAATGGTTAGACCCACCATTATCTCGAGGGAGGGTGTTGGGATAAAGATCTCACACTGGAAATATGTAAGGGACTTAAGTAATATATAAGGGACTTAGGCCAATCCACTAATTACCATTTAGTTTTAAGCCGGAAGTCCAAGAAACTTATCATAATCTCTATCTCCTATCACCAAAAACCTAATCGCTCTCTCTCTCGAAACTGAAGACGGTGGCCAGAACAGCAACGAAGAAGCCGCGGAAAACCGGAAAAGACTAAACGATCTCCTAAATAAATATTATTAACTGTTTTACACAGATTATGAATCCAAATATTTGTTTGGATCGCATTAATGAACTTTTTCTCGATTGTATACCGATCTTCATACAACGTTAGAGAAACACTTATAACACTTTAACCAACGAGAACGGTAATACTTGTAATCGATTTGTAATTTTTTAATTTCATTTTTTATACACATCTATGGAAAGAATCAGGCATGCTATGTTTTGAACAAGATAAAAATTGTGCAAGAAATTATTTAGGGTCTTAAAAATCAAGGTTTTGAAACCACAAACTAATATTCCTCGGAATTTTCTCGGAATATTCCGAGGAAATTCAAAGGAAATTCCGACGGACCAAATCCGACCAATAGAAAGACATGCAGAGAATATTCTTGTCTTGGAACTCGATTCCGAGGAAAGTCCGACGGAACTTAAAGTGGTCGTCGGAATTTCCTGGGAATATTTTCATTTAACCGGGAATTTGATCCGCTAAAATTTTCGCGAAAGTCGAATTAAGTGATTTCCGACGAAATTCTGAGGAACCTTTCCGTCGGAATGTTCTGATAAATATTAATCACGGTTTCTTCTTCCCCATTTCTCCTCTCTTTCTCCAAACCATTGCCGACGCTCTCTCTCCTCCCTCTCGATAATCTCCGGCGATTTGTCCCCAAAATCTCATCAGATTCGTCCTCAAAGATGTAAGAATCCTATCCCCTTGACTTAGGTTCATTTTGATTAGGTTTTGTAATAGATTTGGTGATTTGAATGTGTGTTGATAGATTATGAGTTAGGGTGATGGGTAGATTACGAGTTTGATAGGTTAGGATTNCAAAACGGTTAATATGAGTGATCAGAAGGGTGTTTTGGGAAGGTTAGAAGAAGTAGAGAAGCGAATTGAGCCAAAGATTCATAGTCCTTTCCCAGGACGTGAGAGTTTGTTGAAGAAAGTTATGAACAAGAGAAGGTCTCAATGACATGAGATAGAAGAGTCTGTTTTTCCTTTTGATTGAGTTTGCATTTTACCTATTCACTAGAAGCATTAGAAAGGCAGTTCCTTTGTGTATCTGAAAGATCAAAACTTTATTTATTCATCTCAAGTTCCAGTAACATATCGTAATCATACTCCTCAGTATCCAAGATCATACATAACCCACAATCTGCAAAACCATGATTCTTCCAATGCTTACAACTTTTTTGCACAAAGACGTTTAGTGCATTATATTTAGAAAGCCAAAAACTATCCGAGTTTTTTATGAAATTTTCCATGCAACCATTAAAATCAATGGTCGACCATGTATTATATACAACAAGTAGCCGAGTTCTAAAGATGCATTTTCTGCATCACAAGACCCCCAAGAGGAAGGAGTATATACAACAAGTAAAAAAGACCTAAAGAAGGAGGAGAAATCTATATATGGAAGCAGAGCTGTTGAAATCATCTCTCCCATGTCAAATATCAGGAAAACACTCAGTCACTCATTGTTGCTGCTCTCGTGGTTACCACGGAACTGTGTTGCCATTACGTTGCTCTTACTGTTTCCATAGCAAATGTCTTCGAAGTAAAGATGTTCCAAAGTTGGGAAATGGACTTTGACCAGTTCTGACCGAAATATACATAAAAGAATTGAAGAGAGGAAAGAAAAATTATC